CAAACAAATGAGGATCCCACTGATTGACAGAGATTAACCTAGCTTATCTTCGAACAGAATCAAGAACTCCAGGGTCTCGTGGAGGAGAGATGAACAATCGTTCGCAAAAGGTCTCGTGAGGCACGCCACGAGCACTAGCTGCGGTTTAACGATACCACTCCATCTGCATATCCCGTGGAGGTTCCGGCCGAGATCGCGTATTCAGGGAATTATGTGCAGTTTACGAGCAACTTGCGATGCACCAGACAATACGCGCTATAAAAACCTTGTACAGGCACTCAATTTCAGCACGCGCAATTTACACCTCGAAAATTAATATATCCGCGCAATGAATCAATAGAATTTCATCACTAGCGAGGATTAGCATACTCCCACCGTCATTTTCTTCCCATCTTCCATTCTCTTCGGTGCCTGTACTAACAATCGCAGCAAGAATTCAAGGAATCCTCAATAGGGTATAAAAAATATAGGCTTTGAGTCAGACGATGGAGAAACGTTTAAGAAACGATGGCTCGAGGGGATTCAAGCGTCACTCGTCAGCCAGTCGTACGAAGATTAATGTTTAAATTGAAAACGCTTTTCGAATCCCAAGTGAAATCCGACCTTAATCGGTCGTCCTCAACCTTTCCCCGAAATACCCTGAGAGTTACAGTGGAACGTTCGACCGATGGTAAACAGAAAATCATTCGACCGAGGTTTACCCTGGCTCCAACCTATTCTATGCCCCGCGTACGTGTGTATACGTGTACGTATGTCGATTCGACGCGTGACAGCTCGTGCATCCAGTGACGGGCATTCATCGAGACTCCGTTGAAAATTTTCAATCGGACCCGTGCATTGTGCGACCCCTCGATCTTACGCCGCATTATTTGGAATTTCGACGAACTGTGGCGAGCAGATTAAACCGTGCCTGGGGTCAAGAATCGAGTGGACGCGACAGCGTTCGAACGCCCTGAAAATATTGGCAAAATACTATTGGCCGCTATTTATTTATTTACGGATCAATCCGGACGAGCGCAACTGGACCTGATTGGCGTGTCTGGTTTCCGACTCATTTAGCGTGACTTTGATACGTCCTTTACTTTAACACTATTTTGACATAGCCTTATCTTTGCTTCTGGCCCAACTTCGGACGTTGGCAACTGTCGCGTAGTATTACTCGCGCACACTTTCGATACAGCATGATTAGCAATTTTTAAAAGGACTCTCTAGACTTTTAGTTTTTCGTATTTAGTTTTGGGGCCCTCTAGTGCAACATAAGCATGATTTCTGTCGTCCTAAGGATCAGTTACCTGTGCCAATAAAGCAATAACTGCTGTTTCGGTTTACAACCTGACAAGATCCCTACCAGCGACTATACCTTTGAATGGCCTATCTACCGTTGCAGAAACAAACTGCGTCATATAAAGGTGGAACGGACACCTGACGGCAGTTTCGCTACACCCAGCCATGGTTTCTTCTGCACCGACTTCTTTCCCGTTACGGATACAACCGGTGATCGCGGAACGAGGTCGGTACTACGGGGTGCAGTATACAAAGTTGGACCGCTTTGTGGCCCACTCGCGCGGCACGCAAAAACACGCTCGTCTTTTCGCGAGAGTGACTTTTATGAGATTACAACCACAACGCCGTTGGGCTTCCCCCTGGAAACTTACAAGCGCCATCGAAAAAGTGCCGACGAAATAGCGGCTCTAATGGCAGGAATTCCTGATAATGTTACCACCACCATGAAAGGAGAGAACGTGTCTGCTGTAATAGGCGCCCGTTAGCAATTACCTCATTTGTCGTCCACGAGGTGTCTCGACACGGCTATCTATACCGATTGTTATTTTACCGATCCCCTAGACCTGGTCAAAACGATCTGCAGACCTCCGAGTGATGAGCCAAATAGAACGCACCTCTACAGTTCCACTAGGTCTATTACTTCTTCTTTTCAAAGATTCTCATTAAGGCTAGCCAGTGGACTTCATTCCCAGTCTCGCAGCCCCACAGCAACTTAACTAAGAGATTACCGAGTCTGACCGTTTCGCAAACCGCGAATCAGGCGGTTACTGTTTTTATGCAGCTGGAAGTTTGAATGGTTCTGGTCCGCTTTCTGCATTCCGACCGCAGGAAGCTCCACAGAACACGGGTACGCCATTTAGCGCGCTAAGTGGTTAGAGGTTACCACCGTGTCGAAAACGCGGTACACGACACACAGATCGTGGAAAAGTGGTCCTCGTGTGGGTCCATGTTTCCCTTTTACAGCCGTTAATGGTGTCTTTTGCGCAGTGGTTCGCGAACATTGCCACTCGAAAAATTCATCAAATAGCCGGAAGTGGATGTTCAAGTAGCGATGAATTCTTCACTTTTTCTCATACGGCATCCTCCTCGATGCACGTCTATAATTTAAGCATGAACCAAACTTCGCGACTAATCCGTGGCCTGGACTTGGTGGCTGGTACTTTAAGACGTTAGTTGCCTAACTGGTAGCTTAAGAACTAAACTTGTCGACTGGTGCATTAAGGCCCGAACCTGTTGGCTCGCAGCTTAAGGTCTAGAGTTACCAGTTAGCAAGTTTCCAGCCACAATTATCTAACACTTGGTACCTGCTGTAGTTGGTCTTAGACTACGATTAGGTTACGGGAGCCCTGTGATGACAGGACCACTTGGACTCTGCTAGGATTCCAGGTATTTTTCAAAACAAGCCATTTCTTCGTTATACAGTTCATCGAGGACAGGCACCGGTTTAATTCTAATCTCCAACACTGCTAAAGACGCGAGGAGAGGAGGAGCACTGAAAGTTGCGTCGTTGACGTTTCCACCCTCATCCACATCCCACCCTAATGCATACATTGTAGGGTGGGGCTTATAGTAGGTACCTAAGTCCTACGCAATCCCTGAGCCTTTGCCAAAAGGTCGAGGATGCCTCTTGAAGATTTCCCCCACAATAAAGCACTGATCCCCTTTCTTGAGTTATTTCTCACTGTTAAAGTTCGATACAACACCATCAATGATCTGACTCTGCTTTCAATGGCCTGAGTAATCAGGCATGATTGGTTACCTCTAAAAAGTGTCACGCGCAAGCGCGCATTCTTCTTGCATCGCCAAAGGTTTGTCGATATCCACAGGTATATCGAGCTGTTGGCCTCCAGGTTGCACCGATGATCCATAGGATAGTCCAGCAGATGTGGCGGGATGAGGCTCGAATCCGCAACCTATGCACCCGGCATACATAATTCCGCGATTGTTATTGCGGGAAATCACTGTATTCAGAATGTGTCTCGCACGGAAACCCGCGTGTCCCGGCTACGCTGCATGCCGGAAGATCGCTATTTATGCGACGCATTAACAGCGCCGGTCCGTCTCCGACGGCCAACTCATCCGCGAAAAGCAGAAATTATTTCGCCACGACCGTTGAAGTAAGGGAGATTCCCGTTTGCGGGCTGGCTTGATTAACGGATAGGAAGTGACGAATGGCGGACCGCAATTGGAGCGTAAGAACGCTGACCTAACCTGTACAAAGTTCCGGATTATCGTACGGAAATCTCGTAAAATTTACTCGACCGACATCAGGCGGATTTTATTCATTAAGTTTTCCGGGACGAATCAAGATAAATTTAGGTAACGTAACTAGCCTAAGCTAGCCATTGTCTAACCCCTACGTCAGACAACTCGTTCGGTCGACCCGTAACCATTTAGCGGCAAATACTTAAATTACTTTTCAGCCGATCGTCTCAGGTCGTATTTATGTACGACAGATGATTCTATTGTCCACCACCAGGTAGCTACCACCAGAGTATTTTCGCGAATGTGAAACAGAGCGATGAGAATATTAGTGATCAAGCACGTACACCGCGAATCATAAACATTGCAATAAGTTTCGTACACGCGCGAAGTGAATTAATGGTAGCGTCGGAGAAGAAAGAAGGGTAAGCAAGCAACGCGTGGACTGAATCGTGTATTTCCGGTATATCAAAGCCGGACGCCACACAGACGGGAACTCATTAGAAATCACCGTCAACGACGCCGCGGGTGACTATTTAACTGGTTCTCTTGATAGGATGTTTCCTTGCAAAATTATTAGCAACAGATCGAGCCGGCGTGCGGACAGCGGAAACGCGTGTTAAGATCACGCGACAATACTCCCCTTCTGCTTTGTTCACGACTCACCCTGCACCGACTGAGCAGTATTTAATTACCAGAGGCCCCGTTGCGCTATAGCTAAAAGGTCCACCCGTTCCTCCACTTGAATTATTCAAAACCGCGGAATACCTTGTCTGAATAATCCAATATCACGTAATCAAAAATTTGTTGTTTCCATTCAGCCTGAGGCGGGACCCATTACTCTTGCAACGTGACAAACTGGAGCATTCCACGCTACTAACTCCGAATGATTCGCAATCTCTGAAAACGTCAAGGAACAGATAAGGACCGACGTTATCATTAAGCTAACAAGAAGATTATTAAATCGCAGCGGCGTTGCGCAGGCGTTCGGCCTCGTTATAATTAAAAGACGAAGGACCAAGGCGTCGTAATGACAGTTCCTTGAACCTTCTTAATATTTTCCGCTTCGATGACGGCAACGAAGACGGAAAAGAAAGAAGCAAAAAGCATCGTGAAAGAAGTAGACAGTACTCTTATTACGAAGAGGAGGTGGAGTTCATTATCGTCTGAATTGCTGTATCGATCGCGATAATTGACGAAGTGCGAGTCGAAGACTCCCATTTTAAAAATATATCACACAGATCGGCAGCAAACGGGTGCCATTTCGTAAAAACTGGCCACTTCTTTTGACTGAAAAGTGTGCAATTTTCAAGCGTGAGAATTTAACAACTCGTTCTTTACCCCACTGATCTTGGATGTAGACCTTACCTCACTTACATCATTTAAATATAAACCCAACCTCTATATATTGCGGTTAAGTAAGGACTTCCACTTGATGTAGCTCGAACAATCGCACCTTTTTATTACTGTCAGACCTTGTAACACGAATTAAAGCTTGCGTTCTATTGTTTCAGTGGGAATTCCATCCGCCATCGCGAGTTGCAGTGACGAATGCAGCGCCACGATGACGCGAGCACTAGGACGATGGAGACGACGATCTCGCGTCGGGACACAACATGCCCTGAGGCTGATCGTACAGATCCTACTAATACAGAGTCTCGCTACCGCCCAGATAGCCAAGTGCCCGCCCCCCGAGACTATTCCAGGCTGTCCTTGTTACAATATTGAGGATGGTTTTTTCCTAGAATGCGCTGGCGCTACCGAGGAAACCCTGAGGACCACTATGCAGGGCGTTCTGAACGCAGGCGGTGAGTACAGGACACCTTGAACGTAATGCAAACTCCGAACTGTCGACATAAGGATAATGCAACTTCCGTCGTGAGAAACTTTTTCGATAGGGCATCGCGTGGCGTCCAATTTTCATTTATCAACGAAACGACTCGGCTGCATGCATTGGAACACTGTAATAACGAGGAGGGAGGGGGGGGGGCGGAGATTGTTATTATAATCAGAATAACAGCGTCCGTGTTTGTTCGTACGCGTGGGATGGAAAATTAATTAGCATTCAATGGGCCACTTTAAAACGCGCGTGGATAAACGTTTCTCGTTAACGAGGTAGCCCGGTTCGGGGTAGCCTCGGATCGTGTACTAGACTATTTGTTCGCCGTCGAGGATACGATTAGGGAATACGGACATGCAAAAGATATTTCCGAAAACATTAAAGTTTGAACCGTACAGCGCACCAAAAGAGTAGCAATACACAAAATAGTTTCGCAAACGATACCGATTCCAGCAAAGTATTGCGCGATCCTCGAATCAACTGCGTGACACTTCTTGGACCAACCTCCTCGAACAATTCATTATCTTTTACGGCAGCTATAAAATCCACGAATCGACCGCGACTAACGCGGGGAAATCTAAGTTTCACGTTATCGCGGCTTAATGAAATTAATGGTCCTGCCCTTTACGACCGTTTCCAGGAGCCGGTACAATGGTGCAGTCGTTGAGCGTTTACGAGCTGGACAAAAGCGTGGAGGAATTGAAAGACAGCTGCTTCCCGCCCGGCTCTCAGATCAGACACCTACAAATCTCTCACTCGTCCCTCCGTGAAATTAGCGAGGGAGCGTTCACGAATCTGAGGGATAGCCTGGAGTCGTTAGCTCTGGTGTCCAGCCGTTTGTCCCACGTGCCGCAGAAGTCGCTGGCCAACTTGCACAAGTTGGCCGCCTTGGATCTCGAGGCCAATTTGATACAGGACCTCTCCTCGTACTGCTTGTACGACCTGAAGTTGATGAAGCTGACGCTGAAGGGCAATCAGATATCGAAGATCTCCGAGTACGCGTTCGCAGGTTTGGAGGACAGCCTTAGTGATCTGGACCTGGCCGAGAACAAGTTGAAAATGTTCCCCATGGCGCCTCTGAGGAGACTGGAGAGCCTGGCGTCTCTTAGACTCGCCTGGAATGAGATATCGGAGCTACCCAATGGCAAGTACAGCCGACTCAGCTCGCTGTTAATCCTGGACTTGAGCAGCAATAACTTCGAGAAACTGACCGAGGACTGCTTCTGGTCGTGTCCCATTTTACACACCCTCTCGCTTTATTACAACTCGATCGAAACCGTTCACAAGGACGCGTTCGTCTCCCTCAAAGACCTAGAGTCGATCGATCTCAGCCACAACAAGATCGTGTTCCTCGATATAGCCACGTTCAAAGGGAACGAAAGGCTACGCACCATCGAGCTGAGCCACAATCACATTCACTACATCGGCGGGGTTTTCGCGAGGATGCCGGAGTTGAGGGAACTGTACCTGGCGGAGAACAATATCCTCGAGATCCCCGGTGACGCATTTATCGGCAGTATCAGCCTGGCGGTCGTCTACCTCCAGCAGAACGCCATCAGAAGAATCGATGGGAAGGGACTCACCAGTCTCACGCAATTGGCCCAATTATATCTTAGCAACAACTACATCGAGAAGGTGCCGCGAGAGTTTCTCGAGCACTGCGGAAATCTCTCCTCTCTGTCCCTAGACGGAAACAAGATTCGCGAGCTGCAACCAGGCACTTTCCTGAAATTGTATCAATTGAGGGAGCTACGACTGCAAGACAATCACATCACCGAGGTGAAGCGGGGGGTTTTTTCACCCCTGCCGTCGTTGCTGGAGCTTCACTTGCAGAACAACGCCATCACCGACATGGAGACCGGCGCATTGAGGACGCTGAACAGCCTACAGCATGTTAATTTACAGGGAAATCAGCTGACGGTGTTGGGCGACGTGTTCCAGTTGTCCACCTCCGAGTCGTCCTCTGGGGGGAGTTCCTTGGTGTCCATTCAGTTGGACAGCAACGGATTGGCAGTGTTGCACAACGATTCTCTGCGTGGACAGGCTTCGGTGAGGATCATGTGGCTGGGTCACAACAGGTTAACGCACCTACAGGCACCCCTCTTCAGAGACTTGCTTCTCGTAGAGCGGCTGTACTTGACCAACAACTCGATATCCAGTATCGAGGACGGCGCCTTCCAGCCGATGCAGGCTCTGGAGTTCTTGGAGCTGAGCATGAACAAGCTCAGTCACATCACCGCGAGGACGTTCTCCGAATTGCACGAACTCGAAGAACTATATCTCCAGGACAACGGCTTGAGGAGACTGGACCCCTACGCCCTGACCGCTCTTAAGAAACTCAAAGTGCTCGACCTGGCTAACAATAACCTGACCGTGTTGCACGACGCCATGTTTCAAGAAGGCCTACCTATCAGGATCCTGAACTTGAAGAACTGCTCCATCATGAGCGTGGAGAGCAGCGCCTTTCGTGGCCTCAGATATCTATCCGACCTCAACTTGGATGACAATCTCCTCACAGCGTCAGCCTTATTGAATCTACATATTCCAGGGTTGAGCACTCTTGCCGCGTCTGGTAATAACTTCAGCCAAATCTCCGAACACAGCCTGAACGGGCTGCCGTCCCTGCAGAAACTGTTGCTGGACGACGCACAGATTTCCCAACTGCCAGAGATCATTTTCGTACTGAATCGAAACTTGGCACGCCTGCATCTCAATAGGAATTACCTTCGCAGCCTACCACCCGGTATTTTCGACGGGCTGTTATCCCTCTGGGAAATCCGGCTGGACCACAATCAGTTTCAGGATATCCCGTATTCCGCGTTGGCCAGCGCCCTCAATTTGGAAATCCTCACGTTGTCCCACAACGAAATTACGAACGTAAACGTGGCCAGTTTCGCCAGCCTGAAGAACCTGAAAGAGTTACACCTCAGTCACAATCAAATAGAGACGATGTCCGGCTTCGCCATGGCGAACCTGTCGCGCCTCATCTCCGTGGATCTCAGTCACAACCACCTGAACGCTCTTCCGGCCAACTTCTTCGCTCATTCCTCCATGCTGCGCAAAGTAGATCTATCAGAGAACAAGTTCAGACAGATTCCAGCAGTGGCGCTGTCGGGTCAGAACCTTCCCGCGCTGCGCTGGCTGAATCTGACGAGGAACCCGCTGAATAGAATCCACGATCTCGCGTGGGACGCCATGTATCCTATCCTTCAAGAAGTTCACATATCGGGTACCAATTTGAGCATAGTCACGTCTCAAGACTTTGAAGCGTTTCCCGCTTTACTGCATCTCTACTTGAGCCAGAATGGCATCCTCAGGGTTTCGCCAGGAGCTTTTAGGAGCTTGCCTAACCTCTTAACGTTGCATCTTGGAATGAACAGCTTGGAGATCCTCCCCAAGGAGAGACTCCAGGGCATGGAGTATCTGAGGATTCTAAACCTGACCCACAATCGACTGAAAGAGCTCGAGGAATTTCCCCAGGACCTCAAGTCCCTTCAGATACTGGACCTTTCGTACAATCAGATAGGAATCGTAGACAAGGTGACGTTCAAGAATTTGGTCAGCTTGGAGGAATTGCATCTCTACGGGAATTGGATTAACGCTATCTCCAGCGAGGCGTTTAGACCCTTGAAAAAACTGAGATTGTTGGATCTCAGCAGGAATTACTTGGAGAATCTGCCGCTGAACGCTTTTCGACCGCTGGAGACGCAGATACGGAGCTTGCGTGCTGAAGGTAACGTAATTAATTAGGATTCTAGGTATCCACTTTAATTTATTTACGCTCCGTAAATGATCGTTAAATATAATTTACCAGATAGTGATTCTTATGAAAGTGGTCAAAGTAAAGCGAGGTATCCATTAAAAAATTGAACTCAAACCGTTTTGAAACTTTGTCGAGAGGAAGCTACTGGGCAAAAAGAAAAGTCGAAGTTTTGATTAATGCAGTACCAATGTTTCGTTTGTTCGGAAGACTTTTATTCAATGTGCACGTGAGCTAGAGGGAATAACAGTGTATATATTGAAGCTATCGATCCAAATGGAGTTACTGCCGCTGGAAACCCAATCATATCGCTGGTCACGTACAATCGTCTCGAATCGATACTCAACATCGGGACAATCAAACACGCTCTGCCATTCTGTCTCATCCTCTCCTCTCAAGTCTGCAAACTAGTCCCTTACGGAAGTATAATGTCCACCAGCTGCTACCCCTAATCCCCTACCCCCCAAAAAGACTTCCAAATTTAATGGAAAGCACTATGAACGTGTCTTGGTCTCCACGTGCTACTTCGTATCAATGTTTCAGTGGCTCCTGGTAATCCCCTCCTCTCCAGGAATATTCGAGCGGACAGTTTCTGTAATTGTGCTCGAGGTATCGTGAGCTAACTATGAAAATTAATTTAGATTAAATTACGACGCCCGTGCTACAGAGAAAATATGTTAACACAAATGATTAAGAAAGTTTTCACACATAGTCAAGTTTACTCTGATACATATTTATCAGCTCTAGAATCCTCGTCGATGGAATCCGCCAAGGTCCAGTTTAAACTTTTTATGCAAGCCTTTCGAGTGTCTGCATATGTCCCGCTTAGCGACACTGGCTGCGCAATATCCTCTCCCAAAACATCCTCTAAGAATAACCGCAACGCCTTCTAACTTGATAATTCGCAGAGAATCCGTTACACTGCGGCTGCGAGTCGCAAGAACTCTGGGAATGGCTGAGGGACCATCAGAAGCTGGTTAGCGGAGTGGGTGGTGGTCGCGGTCGCGGAAGAAACGGCGTCGGTGTCGGAGACGTCGAGGGTGGTCTGCTGAGATGCGAACAACCGCCGGAACTACGCGGTCTGGTTTTCCTCGATCTCGACCCTCACGCTTTCTGCTCCGTTCCACTGGTTCTGAAGCTCGCCATTCAGGATATACAGCCTTTCTCCGTCCTCGTGTCCTGGCAGAGCAGAAACCATTCTGGACTACATGGCTATCAAGTAGCCTATCACGCCCTGGACAACGTCGATGAAGTGAGTGTTTCGTTCAAGACTCCTGTCAAAAAGGACTACCGATACTCATCCTTTCTTCTACAGCATATCCTAATCAAGGTCACGGCTAATGTAACCAGACTACAATGCCCTGATACACTTGACAAAGTCACTAATCCTTCCACCTTTATCTGCGTTTTAGGTGCGGGGCAAGCTCCTCGACCCAAAAGCACGTTCGGTGAGACTGACAAAGCTGGCGTCGGACACGCGGTACCTGATTTGCGTCCTTGGCCTCGGCAGCTGGGGCACACCGATCCCCGAGGACATCGGTTCTTGGCAATGGAATGCCTCCCACGACGACGTGATCGAGGGTTCCGCCCTACCCGTGATGGTCACCTCGCCCACGAGTCTGTGCACGGAGGTTCGGACCCTGGACGCGCCGGACTCGATAGTAGGGGATGGGACGATGAGCGACAGAGGGGGTCTGACCAGCATCCTGACTAGAAGGCTGGGCCTGATAGTCGGTAGCTGCATGGGCTTCGTCGTGTTCGTGGTCCTGATCTCGGTGCTGGGCTACATGAAGATGAAGAAGCAGAGGTCCACGGAAAAAAGGGATCAGCCTCTGTCCTCAAATCCGCAGGCCTACATGACCTACAGGCATTACTCGCTGCAGAGCGGCGACAGGGCGGACAACGCTTGCCCCAGCTTCATCAGCAACATCGGAACCACGCCTCTGAACTCGTAGCACATACCGAAGGAGTCTCGCAAAGAGGCTGATCTCCGCGGTATCGAGATGAAGACCGCCCCTAACTGCGTGGGCCTCTTCGGATGAGTGCCCTGCCGAGCGAACCCACCGAGGAATGTCGACAAATGACGTCCCCTAATTGCAACGTGCCACCCTCGTTTCGTTCTTCGAGATTCGACGTTTATCTGGGTACACCGTAGAGGTGTGGGTGCTCGGTAGTAGCCACGGACTACTCGTGTAGGTAGCTACGAATCGACGCTGGTTTCGATCAAGTGCCAAAAACTGATACGCGTAGATCCCGACCAGAACTTGGCGAGCTAGTTTCGCCTGTCGATCCGTCTGGAGGTTTTCGAAGTGTCAGTGAAGGACATAACCACTGCTCGCGTGCCAAAAGTTTCGAAGACTCGATTCACCGGGTCGGAAACCCTTTGGGAACAAAGGGACCTCGACGGGCGCTGCTCGGTCGACCGATTATCCGCGGACCTTAATTTCTAACAAATACGCGCGACGTTGTCTGTTGCTGAACAGATCCTCCGACCATTCACGTGAACCGAACAACGACGTAAACGACCCCTTTTTGGAACAATTCGAATCTACTCCTACGAAGACTGATTTTTTAATGCCGTTTTCCCCTCATTAACTCCGACGCTCACGTTGTATGTACGATACCGTCACACAGACACACGCAAACACACTTTTTTTTGTAAATAATAGTCTACGGAACGTGACTTAACAATGTTCGTATTGACGCTCGTATATCCCGAGAGGAGATATACTCTTATAGTGCTGCGCAAGCAATATTACACTTACTCGTATCGATAGTCCCAAACGATCAGCACTAAACTTAATTAAGAAGCGATCTTCTAGAAGACTCGACGTTTCTTTATTTCCTTTCTCACACTTTCTCTCTCTCTCTCTCTCTCTCTCTCTCTCTCTCTCTCTCTCTCTCT